TATGCACAGCCTGTGTTGTGAATGAAAGTGTGCAGATGGTTATGCTACATTTCTGTTGAATCAAAAATGCCAAGAGGTGGTTATGTTTAAAAACTGTAGTAGCACGCTGATGGATGAGTGGGTTAGTCATCAGTGGGATGCACCCTGTGGAATCTTCCTCTTCTTTAGCATGATCCATTTCAGCGTATGCCATATAAGAGAGGAGGTGATAGAAATTACAGGACATGGGTGGGGATGCTGTGCACTGATTATCTGAGTTTTCTTTATTTACTTTGCAGGTGTGTTACAGTACTGGAGCATGGACACAGTGGCAGTAACAAGAGACGGTGTGCTGTTTCTTCTGCTGGGATTTTTAATGATCATCTTCCTGAAGATGGAAGCTCTAAAAACATGGAAGATCGCATGAACCTGAAAGCTTCCACTTTGGGAGGGTTGTTTCTACCGGGTAAAGCCCAATAAAAACTGAAGCACAGTAAAGCAGGTCTTTCACGTAGCTCCACTTAGCCACTCTGATTTTGTTTGACAGACTACCTCTTAGAAATGCATTTAAGTTAACAGCAAAACTACAAATAAAAGTCTGGCAGATTTAAATAAAAATGATTTTAGATAAGCAAGGAGACAATTTTCATTTCCTTTGCATTAAAATCTACTGTGATTATCCAGCAGAAATTCAATAAATCATTTGCAGAAATTCCAGTCTAACCGCTGCGTGATCTTCTTTTCTTCTTCCTCACATCTGTAGTATCTTTAGCGCACATTTGCTGTAGCTGCAATGTGATATGTGGATTTGTGCTACAAACGCCGTAAACAAGCCTCTCGCTGCCTGAGCGGAGAGCACTGATAATCTGCCTGAGCATTATCTTATGTCACTTTTTTGTGCATGCTATGCCCTTCTAATGCCAGAGTTTTTACCATGTCAACACTCAAAGCCGCGCTCGCTGAATTTCAATTCAGTCATAAAAGAAAGTGACATCTGTGTTGGTTTGTAGTGCCGGTGGAGGAAATAAAATGATAACAACAGCCTTGCTCTAAATCCAGCAGAATGGCAACTTCCCTCATTCAGCAACACAGAGACTTTTGAGGAGATGCCATTGCTGCCTCATTGCTTTTTCACTCCCTCTGATTACTCCTCTCATCTTATGTAAATCCTCTTAAGTCACATGTTATTGTTTATTGCAACTGTGAAGGTTAGGTGTTCCTAAGCCTTGTGCGTGCTCTTATCTCGGCAGTGCATGCATCTTTGTCTCTCCGATGTGTCTTGTTTTCGTAATACACTAATGGATGGGAAAAAGTTGTCTGGACTGATGCGGCGAAGACAACCAATCCACTGCAGTAAAATATTAATCTCTCCCGGTGGCTAACAACTCTTCATGAAAGAGAGGCAGTTGCATGCTCTAGGGATATCACGGCATTATCAGCAGCCTGCTGTGTTTGGGTTTTTTTTCCCTTTATATTAAATATAAACAGTTCCAACAGATGTGTTTATTTATTGGTGGTGGAAGTCAAAGGCTTTCTTAGCAAATGACCACGCTCTTCCAAAGGATATGCTCTTCAGGTGTTCCACTGTTACTGATTTAATATATATGTGCCACTGTTTCCACAAGTCAAAATGTGTGCCTTCAAATAGTTATCTAGAAACAGAGGTGACATACTAGCTTTTAATACTGAAGCTGAAGTCTCTTTTTCTGGTAGCAGGAAGTGAAAAATGAACTTTTGCCAGTGGATTGTTCAACATTTCTTGATATATGATCTTTTGTAATGCGGTGTTATTTTTAAAAAAATATGTATTCATATTTACAAACTGTGGTATCATAAGACATGATAATATTTATACATTTTTATTGTATATTTGTTTTGAATTCTCTGTATGTTTCTCAGATCCTTAAACTCCATGTTTGTAGTCCACAACTGCTTTAAAACTACATTTCCCTTGAATATTATGTCAGGGAAACATCCTTAATTAGGTTTTCATGGGTTTGCTTTTTGTTTGCTTAAAGGAAGCTTGTACAGTATAACACAAAACTACAAACACTAAACACTAAAATAATATTTTCATGTTCAGAAATGTTTTGTAAAGAAAAGAAAAGTCCAGTGCAAAGACTTGAGATTGTACATCTACTATGTCTAAGTAAACAGTGCCGTTGCTTTACACGGGATCTTTCTAGAAAAAGACACCACTCATACACATCTCACAGTTTTTACAATACAGGTAACTAATATTTCTATTCAGCTGCTTGAACATCTTGGAAAGTTTTGGCAATAGTAATGTGTGGGATGTAAAGGTTCGGGGCATTGATCTCTGAGATAATGGAACCACAAAAAATACAATTTTCCCAATGATACCTTGAAACATATATTTTTTTAAAGCACTATAACGTCAGTGACCACAGTGTGTTTGGTGATTTGATGAAACGTTACTCTAGAATTTGTTCCTACTAGAGGGATCTGTTTTCCTTTTCTGTTTCTGAATCAAGTGTAGTTATAAATTAGTGAGGAGATGGAAATAAATCAGATTTTTGGTTTTCGAAATCAAACTTTAGGTTTGATATCTGAAAAGGTTTCATAGATACATAGAATCCTAATATAAAAGCACTATCATAGTGACGGATTCCAAATTTCTACCCAAATAGTCAATAAATTTTGACTGTAAAAGTTAAAACACAATGGTCTAAATTATCTCATATGTTTCTATGCAGGGCTTTTTCTGCAAATATAGAATTTAGATAACTATTATATCAATTTATGACGTCTTGATGAGTGCAAGGCAACAACAGTATTCCGTGAGATGAAGCTAGTTAATCTAGCCCTGCACTCTGAATATGATATTGTATATCAGTTATTTCCAGTTTCTTCCTGAGGGCCCCTGAGACTGTGCCTTACAGTTTCATTATTTCTGCAAGCAAAAGGAAATTAATCTGTGAACTGAACGTATGATTTAATTACGTTTACTGACACAAAATTGATTAAACTGAACTGATTAATAACAATTCAGAAAAAATAACCGTTTTAGTGATTTTCTCAGCTTTTCACTATGAGAAAACTTATGCTACGCATTTCAATATTTTACATATGGAACAGTTACTTATTTATTAGTTATTAAAGACATCGGCTCAGTTTTGGCTCACAGTCAGTCAGTCCATCCAAGACTTAAGACTTACTCCAAGATATTCTTATGCATACCGAGTTAGTGTAAATCATTATTAGGAAGGTCAAATCTTTTTGGGTTACTGACCTGGGGCGTTTCTGTCCTTTGATATCTCATATGAACTTTGGAGCTGACCTGCGTATATAGCTTCTTTGGCACAGCTTCTGGGTTCCACTGCACACAGACGGATAAGCGTCAGGGCCAGGGTCGTGCAGAGAGGTTTAAAGGGGCGGGTGCTCAAAGTTAAA